TAACAAATTTTTCTGTGCTTCAGTTTCCTCAGCTGTCAAACGGTGATAAGAGCACCCCTTTATAAAGTCATCAGGAGGACTAAATAAGTTAATAAAGTACTCAGAACAATAAGAACTATCTAAGTACTGTATTAACTATAATTAAGAGAATAAGAATTTACACTTGAAGAGGTGGGCATCCTGGTAATCCAAAGCTGAGTACCTTGGAACAGTAAGATTTACATGGACAACCACTATTCGTCTCACAGTACTTAGTCACATAGAAGCTCTAGTAGTCCATGGCTTTCTCACACAATGTGAATGAGTCTCAAGTGACCATCTGGGAGCTTTAATTATTATTCTGTTCTTTAGAAGGTTCCTGATAATTATCTTGAGATAATTCTTGCTAATCTTTACCTCAGAGAATTTCTTTTTCGTTTTTTGAGAGGTTTTCGCTATAGGGCGCGTGCGCTCGCCAGACAGAGAGAGACAGAAAGTGAGAAATCACCCCCCCAGGGGGGATGGTCACGCCGCAATCCCTTCTCCTCCATTCTCCTCTTGGGATCTTTGGCACGTACGCACACGCGCCCAGTGTGAGTTTTAAGTCACCGGATCCAGGACGCAAACTGCGGTCGACTACGTGGGAGTCCGGCGCCATAGCCATTACGCTAACTGCTGGTTCCCAGTGTACAGTGATTTTTAACAATTAAGGGGCCAACAGGTGGCATGGAGGTTAAGATGGTTGGATCCCACATAGTGGACTGTGCATTTCGAATCCCAGACCAGGCAGCTTGAAAAATCCCAGGTGCATGTGTATACTGCCCAAAATCTGAAGAGGAGAAGGCATTGTGGTGTGGCCATCCCCTCTTGGGGGTAATTTCTCATATTCCCTCTCTCTGTCTTTCTCTGGTGAACACACATACCCTATAGCAAAAAACCTAAAAGAATTATATAGGAATACTAGGGGTGAGAAAATAAGTTATACAAACAGGTAAGACATTGGACTGGCTGTGGTGGTGCCACTGTACAATGCTGGAAGCCATGTGGAAGACCAGGGGCTCAACCCTGGGCAGATAGACTGTGCACATGTATGTGCCCCTTACCGTGGCTGGGTGTAAGGCTGCAGTGAGAGTGGGGCAGTGAGACCCTGTTGTGGGTGCTTACTGCTCTCTTTCTCTTTCATGAAGGAAGTAAGCAAGGGACCAGCAGTTAGCGTAATGGCTATGTTGCTGGACTCCCATGTAGTCGACCGCGGTTTGAGTCCCGGACCTGGTGACTTAAAACTCACGCCGGGCGCATGTGCGTGCGTGCCCAACATCCCGAGAGGAGAATGAAGGAGAAGGGATTGCGGCGTGGCCATCCCCCCTGGGGGGTGACTTCTCGCTTTCTACCTCTCGGTCTCTCTGTCTTTCTGGCGAGCGCACGTGCCCTATAGCAAAAACAACTCTCAAAAAAAGAGAAAGAAGCAAAAAAAAAAAAAATAAAACAAAAACAGGTAGACTTCATGGTGAAGTCTTTATGGAAAAAGTTGGTTCTGAACATAAAAATTGTGGAATACAAAACTTTTAGTTTACTATTCTGTTTATCAGGCATAATTTCTACAAAACACTTTGAAATGGTTAAATATAATCATTCAGTAAATGTTTAATGGTGTAATGATAATAAAGAAGTGAATGAATTTAAGAACTAAGTGATTTAGAGATGATACCAGAGAGGGATGGAGAAGGCATATTCTTGCTTCAAAATAAGGTCAGTGGCCCTATCTCTGCCTTGTTCCATAATCGCTAGGCACCGCAGCAAAATTAGTACCATTAGGCCAGTGGTGTGTATGAGAACCACCTGGGGAGGTGTTCAAACTTTGAATTCTATGCCCTTTGAAATAATTCTTATTCAACAAGTATATGGGGATTCTGGCAGGTATGTCTACTTTGAAAATACTCACTCAATGGTCTAGGTAGGGTTGAACCGCCTTTAAAAAGAAAAACAAAAAAACTGGGACCAGCAGTTGGCATAATGGACTCCCATGTAGTTGAACGCAGTTCAAGTCCTGAACCTGATGGCTTAAACTCACGCCAGGCGTGTGTGTGCATGCCCACGATACCAAGGGGAGAATGGAGAAGGGGTTGCGGCATGGCCATCCCCCCTGGGGGATGATTTCTCGTTTTCTGTCTGTCTCTCTCTGTCTTTCTGGCAAGCACACATGCCCTATAGTAAAAAACCTCTCAAAAAAAAAAAAAAAAAAAAAAAAAAAAAAAAACCAATTAGCCAGGAGGTATATGTGCTCACGAGACAGAGAGAGAGAGAGAGAAAGCAACCCTATGAGGAATTTTCACATTGTAATCCCTTCTCTACCATTTCTCTCTCCTTTCAGGATTTTAGGCATGCAAGCACACATACCTAGTGTTCCTCAAGCTGTCAGGTCTGAGACTTGAACTGCATGCACACACATCTGCCCAGTGTGTGTTTCAAGCCACAGGGTGCGGGACTCAACCCATGTAGTTGGCCATGTGGATCTAGCCACCTTAACCTACATGCCCTTTGCTGGCCCGCCACCAAAATATCTTTAGCTTTCAGATATCATTAAAATCAATCATGTTTCTGCTTTTTAAATTTCTGCCATAAGGTACTTGTGCTTGCTAGAGAGAGACACAGAAAGAGGGAAAGTAAGAAAACATCCCATGGGGGGTGGCCATACCACAATCCCTTCTCCTCCATTTTCTTCTAGGGATTTTAGGCATGCACATACACGTCTGGCATGTTTTCTTTCTTTCTTTTTTTTTTTTCCTCTTGGAGAGATTTTAAATATAGGCACATGTTCTACTGGAGAGACAGAAAGAAAACCAGAAATCACCCCCCAGGGGGATGTCCATGCTGCAATCCCTTTTCTTCTTTTCTCCTCTCAGGATTTTGTGTGCATGCACGCTTACATACTCAGTGTGAGTTTCAAACCTTTGGGTCCAGGACTCAAACCATGGTTGGCCGTGTGGGCCACTTGGAAGTCCAGCAACATAACCATTATGCCATCTGCTGGTCCCATGAGTAATCCTTTCTTAATATTAGCACTTAAAACTACACTACATATTTCAAAATTAATTTTGCATAAGAAAGTAAAAATGTTAAAAATACAAGTTTTTGGAAATAACACTTTATTAGGCAGTCCACTGATTCTCCCCATTCATTTTATGGTAAATTTCAGTGTTTCTCTGAGCTGAATACCTTGTCATTCTGCTAATGACAGTATCACTCCATTGGCAGTGTCAGGGAAGTATAAAAGTATCTTTTTGGCAGACATATTATAAAAAGTAGAGTCACAGGGGCCAGCAGATGGTACAGTGGTTAAGGTGCTAGACTCCTATATTGCTGACCATGGTTTGAATCCCAGACCCAGTGACTTGAAAATCTCACTGGATGGATATGTATGCTGGTCAAAGTTTCAGGAGGAGAATGAAGGAGAAGGGATTATGGCATGGCCATCCCCCCAGGGAATGATTTCTCTTTCTCTCACCTCTCTCTAGTCTCTTTCTGGTGAGCACACAGGCCCTATGACATAAAAACAAAACAAAACAAAATCAAACACATACCTAACCAAAAAAAAAAAGTAGAGTCACATTATATTACATAGCTCAAAATACCATTCATCTTCATTGTTTTGTCTCAGTATCAAGTGGAGGGCACAGCAGCAATCAGAGATTGAATGACATTTTCTATTTCTGTCAGCAGTCCTTAGTACAAGGATAACAACGTCATAAAAAAAAAGTAGAAATGGTCTACTGTGCTTATATTTCTTAAAGGAAATGATAAGGAGTCAGCCTGACTCAACAGTTCCAGCTAGAGCAGTACTACCATAGATAGAATAGATTCCTTTATCTCCTGTGCCACCTTGATACTGTCCCTTTGGGAAACTTAGGTAGCTATGGACAGAAAAATCCATGGTAGAAAGCACCCAAAAATTCAGAAGGGCTGACTCAGTCATTTCACCTATAAGAATTCAGAAAAATAACTGAGCAACATACAAAGAGTAGATATACATGTACATGCACACACACTTTATTTTTTTTAGAGATTTTGCTATAGGACATGTGCGCTCACCAGAGAGACAGAAAGTGAGAAATCACCCTCCCAAGGGGGATGGCCATGCCACAGTCCCTTCTCTTGCAGTCACCTCTTAAGATTTTGGGCATGCATGCACACATGCCCAGTATGAGTTTTAAGCCACTGGTTCTGGGACCCCAACCGCTGTCGCCCATGTGGGAGTCAAGCGATGTAACCATTATGCCCCATCTCTTGGTCGCAACACATATACATTTTATATATGAAATAAGTCTAGGGACCAATAGGTGGTATGGTGTTTAAGGTACTGGACTCCCCCATGGCTGACTGCAGTTCGAGTCCCAGACCTGGCAGCTTGAAAATCATGTTGGGCACATGTGCATGTGTGCCCAAAATCCCAGAATGGAGAAGAAGGAATTGCAGCATGGCCATTCCCACCAGGGGGATTAGTTCTTACTTTCTCTCTCTCTGTCTCTCTCCAGAGAGTGTATGTGCCCTATGGCAAAAAAAAACTTAAAAGAAGAAAGAAAGAAAGAAAGAAAGAAAGAAATCTACACATATACCTACATTTCAACAGTGGCTTTCTGAGTGTCAATGTTATCAGTAATTAAAAAAAAAAAAAACCAAAAAAAAAACACTATAAGGGGCCAGAAGGTAGCATAGTGGGTAAGGTGCTAGACTCCTGACATGGCTGACCATGGTTTGAGTCCCAGACCTGATGGTTTGCTTTCTCTCATATAATATAAATAAAATATATATTCTTTTAAAAAAATACCACTATGTTCGTTCATCTTTCCTAATTTTTCTATAGTATATACAGAGGTTATATAATAAGTAGGAAAGATAATGAGATGCTTTCCTAAGGTTTTAAGTACTACCATATATGGGGAAACTAACAATGTCAAACGTGACACCTTTTGAAGCAAACCAAGTAATGGATGATGTAATTATTTTCTTTCTTTCTTTTTTCCTCATGTGTAACTCTCTTCAGTGCCAGTGGCCTAAAAGCAGAGAGGCCATGCAATGGTGAGAGGTCAGTTTGCTCTACCATGAGTGGTCACTACAAGAGGCACAGGGGAATGACCCTGTCATAAATTCAAACCCATGTATGGACAACATAATTTTATACCCCACACTAAAAAACTTCCGCTCTGTAAAAGTGATTTAAAAAAATAGCATTACATGTCTTTTTTCCCTTAAAAATGTCCTCCTCCTCTATGCCACAATCATTTTAACACTTCCATAAGTTTTACATTTCTAGATGGAGAAGACAAATGATTGATATTTGAGATACTTTTTATTGCCTACAAAACCTATATACCCATTATTTTACCAGATGGTTCCTCTGGAGTTTAAAACACTGATAATTTTATTTTTAAATTCTATTTACTTCTACCCCTTCAAACTTACCCAGTGTCTACAATCCTACGTCCAACAGTAAAATTAGGACAGGCATCCTTTTCCCCCAATAGCAGACATAAACTTATATAGTTAACCTTGAACAACATGGGGGTAAGGGATAATGACCTCTGTAGCTGAAAATCTGTGAATAACTTTTGACTCAAAACTTAACAACAAATAGCCTACCAAACATAGCAAAAACAGTCCAGATACAGAGACCACTATCTTGACAATATGATTACTAGGTTCAAGGCCTGGAAAATGCAGCTCACCATGTATTTCACCACGAGAAATCAATAATTTTCAAAGCTGGTAGAACCTAATATTGATTCTGTTTTTTTAACATCAAGGCCACAAGGAGTCTAACAGGATAGAGAAATGTTTAAATTAATATCAACTGGATTGCTATTAAGCTTACCTTACAGCTTTGAAAACTCTGATTTCTTGTGTGTTTCAGTGGTGAGCTGCATTTCCTGAGTCTCAGCCGACATCCCAGCAGGACTTCCAGCCTAGGAATTCCAGTCTGATGAATCAGCAAAAGGAAGCCCTCACTGAGAGACACACTGGTATCATTCACTGAGTAGAGATAGTGAAAGATGGTAATATATTTCTAAAGACAATTTGTATTATTAATATATATGCTTACATAGTAAACATACATTTAACTTCTCATAGCAGAAGGAATAGTTAATTTTCCCTAAAACCCTGACTACTTTTGCTACAAAGTATTTGGTTTTACTCTGCTTACTTCTTTGGTATGATATTCATTCACCATAGTTCACCTCTTAAGTATCTTTTTAAAAAACAAAACAGAGGTAACAGGTGCAGTGGTGGTTAAGTTGCTGGATCCATGACTGGCTGCATGGTTCAAGTTGTGAAACTAGCAGCTTAAGAATCACACTAGGCAAGTATGAGTGTGTACCCAAAATCCTGAGAGGAGATTCAGGATTAAGACTCAGGATGGCGTGGCTATTCCCATTGGGAATAATTTCTTGCTTTCTGTTCTTACCCTTCCCCCAAGTCTCTGGTGAGTACACATACCCTATAACAAAAACTGAAAAAAACTCAGAGCCAGCAAGTAGCACAGTGGTTAAGGTGTTGGACTTCCACATGGCTGACTACAGTTGGAGTCCTGGACCTGGTGGCTTGAAAATCACACCAGGCAAATGTGTGGGTGTGCCCAAAATCCCAGGCAGAGAATGGAGAAGGGACTGCAGTGTTGCCATCCCCCCGCACTTTCCTCTCTCTCTGGCGAGCACATATATTCTCTCTCAAAAATCTAAAAAACAAAAAACAAGCCTAACCAAAACAAAACAAAATCTTTGTTTCATCTTCTAGCAGCAACACTAAGATCTTACAGCAGGAAAAAAAAAAGTGAACCTTTATCTTTCTAGCTTTACCTTTATCAATTAATATCAACTCTCAAAGTAGGGACAGGTTTTAAAATCTTGCTTAATCTACATCAAAATATTATCGTTACTTTTTTTTTTTGCCAGAGGGTGCGTGTACTCATAGGAGACAGAGACAGAAAGAGGGAGGGAAAGTGAAATCATCCCGATTAGCTATGTGGGGGTCTAGCACTTTAACCACCATGTTATCTGCTGGCCTCGGTTGTTACATAAAATTTTCAAATGAACATTTAACACTTTCATAAAAGGCATGTTTTCTAAAATATCTTTAACATATTTCATAAGAAATCAATAATTAGAACACAGTTCTAAAAACTTTTACATAGGAAGTAATAGAACTTGTCTTACAAAAAATCCTGAGATACATACTTTTTTTTGTTTTTTTTTTTGAGAGGTTTTTGCTATAGGGCGCATGTGCTCGCCAGACAGACAGAGACATAGAGACAGAAAGCGAGAAATCATCCCCCAGGGAGGATGGTCACACCACAATCCCTTCTCCTCCATTCTCCTCTCGGGATCTTGGGCACGCATGCACATGCACCCAGCGTGAGTTTTAAGCCACCAGGTTCGGGACGCGAACCGTGGTCAACTACGTGGGAGTCCAGCGACATAGCCATTACGCTAACTGCTGGTTTCCGAGATACACACTTTTCATTAATTATACCGAATTGGAAGGTTTACTGTTATAGACCAATGGCTATTAATACAGTTCAATAGTTACAAGTAGCTAATAAACTCACATTAAAATTAAATAATATTAAAATTTAAGTTCTTCAGTCACGGTAGCAACATCGTTAGTGTACAATAACTACATGTGGCTGGGGACCAGCAGCTAGCGTAATGGCTATGTCGCTGGACTTCCACATAGTCGACCGCGGTTTGCGTCCCGGACCCAGTGGCTTAAAACTCACACTCGGTGCATGTGTGTGCGTGCCCAAGATCCCGAGAAGAGAATGGAGGAGAAGGGATTGCGGCGTAACCATTCCCCCTGGGGGGTGATTTCTCGCTTTGTCTCTATGTCTCTCTCTGTCTGTCTGGCGAGCACACGCGCCCTATAGCAAAAACCTCTCCAAAAAAAACAAAAACCAAAACAACAACAACAAAAACTACATGTGGTTAGTGGCTGCCTTACTGGATACAGAGCAGAGATCTAGAATTTCACCACTATAGAAAATTCTATTAGATAGCATCATTCTAAACAAAGCACCTAAACGTATAGCTAGTTCTTACTCTTACACTTAACAGGCCTTACCTGGTTTGAGGAGGTGTGGATGTGTAAAGGGACTAGGTTGGCCTAAGTATCGGTGTGGAATCTTCCTCTCTGGGACCAGTTGGAGTGAGTACCTTCTCTGGGAATATGACATATATCCTGAAGGAAGAACAAATGAGGTGAAATGGAACAAAAGATTGAGAAAATCTTTATGGTACACATACATTTATCTATTTTCAGCAGTTTGGATGCTTTAGAAAAATCCAAGTTAGTATTTCCTTCTCTCTCTCTCCTTCAATATTTATAGCCCCTCCTCTGTGCAAGAGACTATGACAGGCCCCAGAAAAACAGAAATGAGATCATCTTTATCCTAGAAACTTTACTCTGTTCCAGTATAATAGATATGTATAAATCTAAAAATAAGGAGCTGTGAGAACAGAAGGAAGGGAAGGAACATAAGTAGGGTCAAGAAGGATTTCAAAAAGGTAGTTAAGGCTGTGTTAGAAAAAGAAATAACATTTACATTAAGGTTATGTTTAGGGAGCCAGCAGTGGTGTGGTGGTTAAGGGGCTGAACTCTCACTTGGCGAACAACAGTTTAAGTCCCAGACCTGAAGGCTTGAAAATCAGACCAGACACGTGGGCATGCGTGGCCAAAATCCCAGGAAAAGAATGGAGAGGGGTGTGTGGCATGGCCATTACCCTTGGGGTCTCACTTTTCCTCTCTGTCTCTCTCTGGCAGGTGCACATGCCCTATGGCAAAAACCTGAAAACAAAAAAACACAATATGTTCATTATGAGAAAATATGTACATGCGGTCTCACTGAATCTTGAACTGTTAGAGCAAGATAAAATACTATATAAGGGGGCCAGTAAGTGGCACAGTGGTTAGGCACTGGATTCCCACATGGTTGACTGTGGTTTGAGTCCTGGATCCAGAGGCTTGAAATTCATGCTGGGCATGTGTTTATGCATGCCCCAAATCCCAAGAATAGCATGGTGGAGTAGAGACTGTGGCAAGGCCACCATCCTGGGAAGGTGATTTCTAGCCTTCTGTCTTTCTGTCTCTTCGGTGAGCACATGTGCCCTATAGCAAAAATCTCTTTAAAAAAAGTAGTAATGTGTAAGAAGTGCTTAATCACACTTGGCACACAATGTTAATATTATTGGCATTAGTACAACAAAATTTCATAGAGCACATGACTTGAACTTGATGATTGAGCTAGAAAAGACAAAAGATAAGACTATTTGCCCTAATCTTTTTTTTTTTCCCTAATCTTTTTTCTTTTTAAAAATTTTGCCTGAGAGCACATGCACTCACCTGAGACAGACACAGAGAAAAAGACAAAGCACCCCTTATGGGAAATGATCACGTTCCCACCCCTTCTCCATTTCTTCTTCCTTTTGGGATTTTGGGCATGTACACACATGTGGTAGTGTGTTTCCCAGCCTCCAGGTTCAGGACCTGAACTGAACAGTTGGCCATGTGCAGTTAGCCACCTTGCCACTGGCTGGTCCTATTTACCTTAGTCTTCTAAGAATGCAGTCTAGTTGAAGTAAGACAAAAGAAAGCATTATATTACATGGTTAATGGAGTAGTAGATGCAGATACAAGGTTTTAAGAGCACTAAGATTATTGCAAGGCTTGAGTTGGGTGACAAAGAGGCACAAAATGTTCTGGGGATCACAGAGAACACATAAAAGGGTTATATGTGGGACTGCAGGAATAGGTAATGCCGCTCTAAATAGTAATTAGTCAAATGAAGACGAGAAGGAGTGTATCATGAAATAATGTACCATAATTAACATTACAAAAGGCATTATATGTGTACATGTGTGCGCTCAGGCGTGAATGTGGAGAAGAGGCAGTAGGAGGACAAGAAAGAGCATAAGAGCAGAGCCGACAAGTGGTATGGCGGTTAAGGCACTAGACTCCCACATAGCTGATCGCAGTTCAAGTCTCGGACCAGGAGGCTTGAGAAATCACACCAGATGCATGTGCCCAAAATCTTGAGAGGAGAATGGAGTAGAAGGAATTGTGGGCGTGGTCATACCTCTGTACAGGCTGATTTCTCACTTTCTCTTTCACTGTCTCTCTCTGGGTAGTTCACAGATATGGCAAGAAAGAAAGAAAGAAAGAAGGAAGGAAGGAAGGAAGGAAGGAAGGAAGGAAGGAAGGGAGGGAGGGAGGGAGGAAGGGAGGAAGGGAGGAAGGGAGGAAGGAAAGAAAGAAGGACGGACAGACACTACCGCAGTGTAACAACAGCAGAGCTCCCTTAGCAGTCAGTGTTGCCAGAGGGAATTGAAAAGATTAGGAAGGTAAGGATCAGACCTTTAAAGAGTTTGTATGGTAAATTAAGGAGTTAGATATATATATATTTTCTTTTTTTTTTTTGAGAGGTTTTTGTTATAGGGTGCATGCGCTATAACAGAGAGAGATAGAGAGACAGAAAGAGAGAAATCACCCGCAAAGGGGGTGGCCACACCACAATCCCTTCTCCATTCTCCTCTCAGGATCTTGGGAACGCACACACGCCTGGTGTGAGTTTAAGCCACCGGGTCTGCGACTCGAACTGCGGTCAACTACATGGGAGTCCAGCAACATAGCCATTACACCAACTGCTGGTCCTGGAGTTAGATTTTTTTTAAAAAAAGAATTATTTAACCGTACTTATTTACTTGTTTTAATTTGACCAGAGGATAGAGCAAGAGAGTGAGAGTGAGAGGGAAAGCCAGAAAGAAAGCTGCCAGGTCTGGGACTTGAGCTGTGGTCAGCCATGTGGAAGTCCAGCATTCTTAACCACCACGCCACCTGCCAGCCGAAGTACTTAGATTTTTTATTGCCACAAGAGGTAGGCATTATCATCTATATTTTACAAATTTAGACTCCACAAGTTTCCATAGTTCCTACTGGGAGATTCAAACCCAGGTTTATTTAACTTTATAATCTCCACGAGTATCCCTCCACCCTGCTATTTAGTAAGTAGTCTCTGTTTAATCTCAACAACACAATCAGTACTGTACAATCTCTCTGTGAATATACAATCACTACAACTGCAGAAAATGATCAATCTCTATCAATGTAAAGATTTCTACAGGGACTATAAAGCACGAATGACGGTATAATATTTTAAGAGAGTTGGGAGTCTCCTTCACTTAAAATTTTGCTCCATGACACATGTACTTACCAGACACACACACATATTACAGAGAGAGAGAGAGAGAGAGAGTGAGAAAGCACACCCGAGAGGGATGGCCATACCATAATCTCTTCTCTTTTCAGGATTTAGAAAGGAGATGCACGCACATGCACTTGGTGTTTTTTTCAAGCTGCCAGGTCTGGGACGTGAACCATACGTAGTCTGCCATGTCAGATCCAGCTACCGCAACCAGACTATGGAATTGGCCCAAGTTGTGAGTCTTAAGTGTCAACTCTGCATTCAATTTATAGAGGATTGTTTAAAAAAAAAAAAGTACAGATCTTTGAATGATTAAAAAATACAGAAAACAGGAGCCAGCAGGTGGCATGCTAGTTAGGTGCTGGACTCCCACAGGGCTGACCATAGTAGAAGCCCTAGACTTGGTGACTTGAAAATCATGCTTGCAGGCTGGCAGATGGCATGGTGGCTAAGATGCTGGATTCCCACACGGCTGACCATGGTTTGAGTCATGGACCTGGCGGCTTGCTTTCTCACTTTCCCTCTCTCTTTCTCTGGTCAAATTAAAAAATAATAGTATCTAAATAAATAAATTTAAAAACAAACAAACAAAAATCATGCTGGGCACATGTGCATGCAGGCTCTAAATCCCAGGAGAATGGAGGAGAAGGGACTGCAGCAAGGTCTTCCTCCCTGGGGTATGGTTTCTCACTTTTCCTCTCATTATCTGTCTGTCACTGGCAAGTACATGCACCCTATGGCAAAAACCTTAAAATATATATACAGAAAATAGTATGGACTTCCAGGCAGTATGAAGATGCAGTTAAGAACAGTGTGTGGGACCAGCAGATGGCATAATGGCTGTTGCTGGACTCCCATGTAGTTGACCGTGGTTTGAGTCCCAGATCCAGCGGCTTAAACTCACACCGGCAGTGTGTGCGTGCTTGCCTAAGATCCAGAGAGAATGGATGAGAAGGGATTGCAGTGTGGCCATTCCCCCCAGGGGGTGATTTCTCGCTCTGTCTCTCTGTCTCTGTCTTTCTAATGAGTGCGAGTGCACATGCCCTATAGCAAAAAAACCTCTCCAAAGGAAAAAAAAAAAGGAATAGTGTGAAAAACAGAAAATAGACAAAACATTCGAAAAATATTTACGTAACATGTCTTTAGGAAGTTTATAGATTACATTTCAGGGAGTGTGTACAGGCCACACACTGAAAGCTTAAAAGGAGGCAAGCAATTTATAGAAAGTTAGAGGACAGGGAAACTCGCTAAATGAGACCATAGGGATGCAATCAACCAAGTCAAGACTGAAAAACAAACAATTCAGTTTGTTCAACACTCAGTATGAGATGGAAGGGGAATAGATCAAGAAACCTTAGAAGACATTATCAACCAACTGTAGTAAAAAAGGTAGACTTCAAAATGTTCATGGTGAAGTAGAAGTAAACATCAGTTTATTTTGGTTCAAAAATCTCAAAACCCAGGACCAGCAGATGGCACAATAGTTACATTGCTGGACTTGCACATGGCCAACCATGGTTTAATTCCCAGACCTGGAGGCCTGAAACTCATGTGGGTGCATGTGCATGAATACCTCAAAATCCTGAGAGGAGAATGGAAAAATGACTGCAGCATGGCCAGCCCACAAGTGGTGATTTCTTTCTGTCTCTCCCTATAGCAAAAATCTCCCTCCCAAAAAATTTTCAAAATCCAGGTTTCCAAATGATACTATATTAGAGCCTTAGAGCCTCTGGAGGGTACAATGCAGCTGGCACCTTGATTTCGAATTTAGGGTCTTCAGAACCAAGAGAAAAATTTTTGTTGGTGTAAGCTACTAAGTCTGTGGTTATTTGTTAAGATAGCCTCAGGGCCTATACAATAACCTGCCAAGATTATAATATGCAGTTTGAAAAACACTGCACTACCTTAAGTCTATGGCTCTACATTGAGGTCAGTTCTAGTTGGGGAGGGGGTGCAAGGAGAGGCTACTCAATTGTTTTTAAGAGCACATAGGGATCCCAAGACTAATTTCTGACCCATCCAAACATGAAATTCCTTAACGCACAGAAATTACCTTCCCCAAAGCATAGCAAATTTCCTTAGTCCACTTATTTTTTTCAAGTTTGTTTACTTCTTCCGAGAATAAGAGAGGCACCCCTGATAGAGTCTTTATTCTGTGATCCATCCTCAGTCTAAATCAGTCAGGATCACAGATATTTGTGTGCCTGAAGCGTACAGGGAACCCCGAGATGCAAACTGGTCGATTCCCATACAGCTTCAGCAGTGGGACATTAAGTTACCATTATGCCACTTTGTCTTGACTCACTTAATTCTTCAGTGACTTGATCCTTGACACTTGTTTACATTATTTACTGCCAGAGAGCATGTGTACATGCTAAAGAAAGAGGGACATGGCAATTGGTCATGGTCACATCGACAATCACTTCTCCACATTTCCATCCTGTTGGGATTTGGGGCATGCACACTCATGCACCTGGTGTGTTTTAATTTGTTGGACATAGGATTTGAAAATCCAAGTGGCCTTGTAGAATCTGGTCCCTTAACCACTAGGACACAGCGCTAGTTCAACATGTTTCTTGAGAAGAGTGTGGGAAAAGGTGACAGCAGTGGGTTCTCCAGCGACTAGAATATGCTGATGGGGTGTTTGGAATAGAATTGTATGAATAAAAGGAATAAAATTTTAAGTTTAGCAGAACCTCAGCTTTCGCCCTCCCTGTAAATAAACTCTTACCGTAATCAAAGCTCACAGAATATAGGATGCAGTGGGCCAGTCCCAAGACCTGGTGGTTGGGGGTGCTGGATTCCACAGGGCCAACCAGGAGGTTCAATCCCAGCCCCAGAGGCTTGAAAAATATGCCAGTTATGCTCAAAAATCCTGACAGGATAGAGATGACAAGGAACTGTGATGTGACCACATCCCATGAAGGTCTTTCCTCTTTCTCCCTCTCTATCTCTGGTGATGCATGTACCCTCTGGCAACTTAGAAAAAAAAATATTAAAAACTATTAAAAGAATGACACATGAAAGAAATGAGAAGTCAGTCACTGAAATTCAGTTATCTAGGGGTCACAGTATACAAGGGGTATGCTTTAGCCATTAGCCTCAGGTTCCACAGTTTATGAGGCTTCCAAGAACAGGGTAAGCAGTCCAGAGGATTCAGGGTGGTCTTGTTTGACTCTAGACTAGCTCCATTTGGGAGGTCCAGTCCCTATCCTTAGCCCAGAATGACACCATAATGTAGCCCTCTCTGACATAAGCTTGCTAACTCTGCTCACCACATAATCAGTTTGCTAGTGTCTCCTAGGAGTGGCCCATGGTAATAACAGTGTCTTCAATGTAAAAATGTGCCTATCTGTACCGCCAGTAGGGCCTGAACTGGAGGAAACCCTGGGTGCCAGGACTCAACACACCCATTTCCAAAGATCTGTTAAAACATGGTGGATTACTATGAAGTTCTAGGAGTACGGAGATATGCCTCACTTGAAGACATTAAAAAAGCTTATCGTAAAGTGGCACTTAAATGGCATCCTGATAAAAATCCAGAAAATAAAGAAGAAGCAGAGAAAAAATTCAAAGAAGTAGCTGAGGCATATGAGGTATTATCGAATAATGAAAAACGGGACATTTATGACAAATATGGGAAAGAAGGATTAAATGGTAGAAGTGGAAGTCGTTCTGATGATGAGTCTGAGTACGGCTTCATGTTCCGGAAGCCAGATGATGTCTTTAGTGAAATTTTTGGTGAACAGGACTCATTTTCATTTCACTTCTTTGAAGACTTACTTGACGAACTTTCAAATAATCCAAGAAGTTCCCATGGAAGTAAAAGCAGAGGTGCAGGATCCTTTTTCTCTTCCTCCAGTGAATATACAGATTTTGAGAGTTTTTCTTCATATGACACAGAATATACATCATATGATTCACTGGGGCATGAAGGCCTCACTTCATTCTCTTCCCTGGCATGTGATGATAGTGAGCTGGGCAACTACATATCTGTTACAACATCAGGCAAAATTGCTAATGGCAGAAATATTAATACAAAGAAAACTGAGAATGATCAAGAAAGAGAAGTTGAACATGGTGAATTGAAATCCTTCCTTGTAAATGGTATGGCAGATGAAGAGCACTTTAAAGAAAGCAGCTGGGGAAGACTGTCACTCAACAATGATTCACTGAATTCCTACACTCCTAAACATGTATCTCAATATGCTTCTGTGGACATTAATGAGCAAGGTGTACCTTGGGTCACCAGCAACTGGGATCCCTCTATTTTCTCAGCAGGATGCAAAGAAGGTGGTAAGAAGAAAAAAAAAAAGCATAAAGAGGTGAAGAAGAAGTCAACCAAAAGAAATCGTTAAGTTGACTCTTCAGAGATATTATGCTCATATAACATTGGAACACAACTGTGTGCGTGTTCTGGTTAATCACACAGTTGTGTTTAATATATACTAAGATCATGTTTTTAACATTTTTGGCAGGATTATTAACGTTTGGTTAGTGGGTGTTTGGATTAGGTAAGTCAGAAAAAAAAAAAATGAGTTGCAGTAACAGTAATATTAAAAACTTGGAAAACTAGGTCAACCCCATGACCTAGTGGTTAAGAGAGTTAAATCCCTGGGGTCAGCAGGTGGTGTGGTGGTTAATGGCGCTGGATTCCCACATAGCCAACAGTGGTTCAAGTCCCAAACCTGGTGGCTTGCTTTCTCATTTTTTCTCTCTCTTTCTCACTCTGTTGCTCTCTGGTCAAATTAAAATAAATAAATAAATAAATAAATAAATAGTGTTAAATAAAAAAATTATTAAAAAAGAGAGAGAGAGAGAGTCAAAGGCTGACTGCAATTTGAATCCCTGCCTAGTGGCTTGAAAAAACATACCAGGCACATGTGTGTGCATGCCTTAAATCCCAATGGGATAGAGAAATGAAGAAGGGATTGGGCCATAACTATGCCCACAGCGAATGCTTTCTCCTGCTCCCTCTGGCAGTGCATGTACCCAGTGGTAAAAATTAAGGAAAAAAAAAAAAAAAAAAACAAAAAAAAAAAA